CCGCGTAACGAGTCATGCAACCTTGATATATATATATATATATATATATATATATATATATATATATATATATATATATATATATATATATATATATATATATATAATAAGCAACTTTTTAGGGCATTCAAATGCCTTTATGACCTAACTATAAAAAGAACAACAACAAGAACAAATGGACAGTAAAAGACTTTATCCACTCAAAGGATTATGTTATTCTGAATATATTTTCAAGAAGGTGGCTTTAAAGTAGCAATTTTGTCTATTGTGTTTGGTTTATATGCACCCCAAAAGCTACAGAGATCGTGAAAATGGCAAATAATTGAAAGATCCAATGATATTAATTTCACAAAGATAGTAAAAAAGCTGGAATTTGGATGTTTCCCCCACCTACTCACAACTTGGGTTTTTGGAGGGCATGCTCATGATTTTAGAATCTTGCTTCACTATCTCCACTTCTAAAATAATAATTTGTTTTCGGTATTTAAACATTTTAAAATCCTAATACTTTTTAACCGTTATATAATTGGGTATGAAGTGATCTGCAGTTTTCGGCTAAGTATATAATTCGGTGGGTTTCGAAGTGCATTTGGTTTCGTTTTTATGTTACATTGCTGATTGAATTTTAATTAAGACAGGTCTAAAGGAAAGAAAAAAACATAACTAATTAAACCCCTAATTCGGATTGAACTCAAATATATAATTACGACAATTTATTAAAGAACGTGATATTACATTACATAATCTGCAGTTTTCAGAGTTTTTTAATTGTTTTCCATGAAAGGTGTTTAAAAATTATAATTTAACTTTATATAATTTTGGTTTGGTTTGTCATGATAAAGATCTTATGATTTAAATATTTCTATTTTTAGACCTATAAAACCACATCTAGGGGATGTGGGTTTTATCCAACCTTTTGTAACATCCCAATTTGAACGCGTATTTATATTGAAAGGTAAAATGACTTAAAAGTCCAATAACGTTTTCAAATCATCCAAAAAAATCACAATCATGTTTTGTCTGTTCAAAAAAAACATAAAGAATATAACATTTTATCTAAAAAATCCAATAAAGTTTCAAACCGTTCAAAAAATCCTAATTTTGTTTTATTTAAGTTTGTTGAGTTTTTTTTTATACAGTTAAAACATGATTTGAGTTTTTTAAACTTCATTGGTCTAACTAATCATTTTTTCGGATACAGTAATAAGCCATGTAATATGTTTCTCTAATTTGACTTTCAGAAAAATGTTAGGGTTGTTTGATTTGAGCTTGACTAGGTCCAGTCAGACATATTTGTCTGACTCGGTCCAGTAAGTTTGTTCGATATGGATAAATAACCCACTGACTCGGTCCATTAGCCTCTTACCCAGTTATGAAAAAAAAAAAAAAAAAAAAAAAAAAGCAGATCGAGACCAGAAGCCATCTTTTCGCTTACGTTCCATTCTCCTTCTCTAAGCTTGGTCGTATTTTATTCATCCTCCCAAGTCCCACCTCATTCCTTCCAGGTCCCCCACCATTCTCCTCCCTTTCCTTCGTCGTCACCATCGACCGACCCTCCTCCAACGACGACTCCAAACGGATCGCTCAAACTCCTTTTCCCCTAGCCGTAACACGCTTTGAACGACATTTCTCTTCAGCGGCCTCTGCATCGCCGACTTCTGCTTCTCTAGCAACTGGAGACGTTGAAATTGCTCAGATGCTTAGGCAATTGGGATAGGTTATTGGAGACGATAGAGATTGCATATAGTTGTTTGGTTAAAGTTTATCCGAAGAGGCTACAGGTAACCGATGTTGGGCTTTCAACTCTCTCTAACTGTTCCAAGTTGGAAATTCTACACATCATCAAGACACTGGAATGTACAAATATGTGGGTTATCTCCATTGCTCAGCACTGTAAGTACTTAAGAAAGCTTCACATAGATGGGTGGAGAACAAACAGGATAGGAAATGAGGGTTTGATAGCGATTACCAAACTCTTGTTATGGGGGTGTTTGATTTACCTTCAAGAACTGGTTCGAATCGGGGTCAAACCTAACTCAACAAGCCTAAGCAATCACTACAAACCGTCAAAAGCTGGAAAGATTAGCTTTATGAGGAAGCGAAACGATAGCCAGATGGGGAGATTTCATGAATTGCATCAAAATGTGTTTCTTTGAAGAAGCTCTGTATAAAAGGGTGTCCAGTATCAATTAAAATGTGGAAACAAGATTGGATGGCAGATTCAATGTAAACCAAGAACCAAAGATGTTGTTCCTTGCACTTTCAGGAGGTGGACAAATGCCAATAGCAACGCATGAGTCATGAAAACCTAAAAATTGATCAAAAGCTTGTGTTGTGTTGTTAATATCTGATTTTTTTTTCTTGAATTTAATCTGGAGATGAGGGGTTGTTTTGATTTGTGTTTCCATATGATCATTCAACAATGTTTATCAAATTTTAAATCTTTAATTTATTTACTTTTTACTATAGGTTGAATGTATTTATTAAAAATATAATGTTATAAATTAAATGTTAAATAATTAATGAATTATTATAAAAAATGTTGTCTGAGGGTAATATAATCATTTTGCATTATCAATCAGATGCAAAATCAAACAACAAGTTTCAGTCAGAAGTCCATTCAGTCAGAAACTCTAACTCAGTTAGCTTCTAACTCAATCAGATCTAACCCACTTAGCAACTATCAAACGACTCCTTACTTAGTTAGGCTTTTTTAGACAAAAGGTTAAATTCCTTGAATTTTTGAACAGACATGATTAAGTTTTTTAAACGGTTTGAAAACTTCGTTGTACTCGTAAGTGATTTTCCCTATATTGAAACATCTATTTTTATCAAGGGTTTAATCATTTTGACAATCTAATTGATCAGTAGATTTTTTTTTTTTAATTTAATTAACAGCAGTGAACTAGCTATTTATGTTTTTTATTTTATGTGTTGATCACTTTAATTTTATATTAAACAGTAACGCACACCATGTAGGGACAGATATTGATTTCGTGCGACTTTGGTTTTTCTTGAAAGTTCCCTCTCAGAAACAATAACAAACTATACAAGCATAATCATAAACTGTTAGAATCAAGATTCATGATTAATGAATTCTTGGTGACAAAGGTACCTTTCAACCTCTATCCCCTATCGTCCCCTTATATACAGCACCACCTTTCTTCTTCTTTATTATTAGAAACTCACTATATACTCCCTCGTTACAAACACATACTAGAAAACCATTCCATTACACGACCTAATCTTTAAGCATTTTCGTGACGAATTGAGCCTGTACAATCTTTAATCTTCCTCGATCTGTAATTAAAATAAGGAGATGGGTTTGAGAGATATCGGAGCCACACTGCCACCAGGGTTTAGGTTTTACCCTAGTGATGAGGAGTTGGTTTGCCACTATCTTTACAAGAAGATAGCTAATGAAGATGTTCTTAAGGGTACTTTAGTCGAAATTGATCTGCATACTTGTGAGCCATGGCAGCTTCCTGGTGAGTTTAGTTTCTCCAAGTTAATTTTCTTTGATTAAATTATTTCTGTTTGATCATGGGAACTTGGGATAGAAATGCATGTTTTGTTTGGTTTTGAGCAGACAATGAACATGTTAGACAAGGTGCTTGATGGGTTTAACAATTAGATACAACCAACCAGTCATATGTGCACATGGTTGTCAGATCATGCTAATTTTGCTAGCAGCTTTTTTGTGATTTTACAAAAAAATTCAAACACAAACACCCAAAAATCGAATGTTCTAACCCAATTTAGATTATGCACATTAGTGGCATGCAATTCAAGCTTTTGAAAGAGTACTCACTGCACATATATACATGGTAGATTGAGTTATCCGTTATGTTTTTGCGAGAATAAGCAATATAGAAATCTTTATATCTATAGGTACTGCATGATAAATCTATTGAGTGGGAACTTTAATTGAAGTCTAAATTTCGTAGTGCTTTAACTATTACAGTTTTTCATATCCATATATAGTCATTATAAAGAGCACAGACTACTTTCATGATCACACACATCCCGAAGGACCTTTTAATATGGAATCAAGAAATCTTGTTTATTCCAGTTAACCCCCCGATCCCCTTCTCTTTCTTACTATATATTTTTTAATTGATATGACAAAAGATATAGATACACTAATTAGTAATTAATGTATGTATCAATCATCCTAATCAATCACGCTGATTAAATTATATATATTCTGCATCTATTAAATTCTATCCTTAACTTTATATCTTATTATATAAAAGATATCATTCTGTGTATCTGTGAGAACTGATTTAAAAGCTATGATTGGATAATGATATTTTTTTAATTAGCGAGCCTTCTTGCTTTCTTCAATTAATTGGTTTCTTGTGAAAAAAACCAATAATTATGACGAAGACAACTTTGACGTACGTTTAAAATGATTTGTATGCAAACAGCAAAACTGTCGACTGGTGTAAATAATTTAAGAGAAATTAAATAGATTCCTATATTAATAAAAAAAAAAATTATTAATTTTATTAAGTATAACTTATATCACAGTCTTTAAAATATGTAGGAAGATGGTAAGAAAAAAAAAATAGCAAGAATATTTAATTTAATTCAAAGTATTTTTTATTTTAACATTTAACGTATCAGTATGTATATATGCTAATATGTATATCTATATGCATGGGATACTTGCAAGTTGGTGAATGGAAACACATTTCTTTGTCACATACACATCAGAGGTAGTGCTAATAAGGACATATTCTGAAATTGACATTGTACCAGTAATATGCATCATGTTTGTTAGTCTTCCATTTGAATCCTCTTGAAGAAACACTGTACCACTGGAAACGCCTGCATTTAATTTATTCAGCATCTTTGTCGCTTTTTGTCTAAGCTTTTATGTCATTTTAAAGCATTAAATTATTGTGTTAGTTTTTCAAGCTTTTAATGATGTCTGGTATATGCATGATTGCTTATCAATTATTAATTTTTGTTTTTATGCTAATAAAGAGATGGCGAAACTCAATTCAAGCGAGTGGTACTTCTTCAGCTTTCGTGATCGCAAGTATGCAACTGGATATCGAACAAACAGGGCCACCATATCCGGATACTGGAAGGCTACCGGAAAAGATAGGACAGTTGTGGATACGAGAACCGGTGCCATCGTGGGGATGAGGAAGACTTTAGTGTTTTATAAAAACCGAGCACCAAATGGGATTAAAACCGGTTGGATCATGCATGAATTTCGTCTTGAAAACCCTAATATTCCGCCCAAGGTAAGAATTAAATCAATTCTTGAAATTCCACACCGAGAATAAAAATATATTGACGAAGAATATGAGAACTTTTTTTTTTTTTTTTTTTTGGTTGACCAAGTTTCTTTTCGTTTTGGTTGAATTCAATCAACAGGAAGACTGGGTTTTATGTAGAGTGTTTTATAAAGCAAAGGGAGACAATAGCAACGAACGCAGCCCACAAGACATGTATCACAATCCAACATATGATGCCACTTCACTAAATCATGATGATGCATGTCCCACCCTCCAACCACCGCCTTGTGTCCACCACCACCACCATATCTGCACCACCACCCCCAACCTCTCCAATCAAAATCCAACACCACCGGTCCACCACCACCATCACCACAAAAATTACATGGACATATCACCACAGCAATACAACCTCCCAAATCTTCTCCAGTTATCGCAAGAGGCTACCTTGAAGGAATGTCTGGACCAAATGAATGTAAGCTCAAATAGTAAGTGTGAAGATCACTATGGTTTCTTTTACGATATGGCGTTAGAAGACTATGTCCCTTCTCATAATCTACAAGACATGGAATTGGATGACGATGATAATGACAATGGTATAGTGTTCTAGGAGTAGTAATTAATTTCAATCTTAAGTATTTTAGGCATAGAAAAATTAAGATAAGAACATTTGATTATTGAGTATTTTTATGTTTGATTTCGATTTGAACCAAGTGATTGATTTGTTGTATATTAAGAGATTGATTCTATATGTACATACACAGGTTGATTTGGGTTTGTAATTGTTGCTAGTTTCATTTTAAAGCGTCAATATTTGATCCAGTTCGTTATGCAATTGCACAGGGTACAATAGATTAATTATTCGTGTTATCGGTTTGATTTTTTTTTCTTTTTGGTTCTTATCGAACTTTAATGATAACATTTAATGTTGGTTCTATAAAATCTAAAAGTAGAAAAATATCAAGAAACTTAATCGAATACAACTCCTCCAATCTTTATACTCAAAGGTCATCATCTAATTAATTGGTTTTTTCCATTCTAAATCATTTGTGCAGGATTTTCTCCACAATTTACGTAAAGAAAGCAACAACGTGTAAGCAACGACGACATATAATGAATACGTTATGACTAGGATGTACCCAGATATTACTTATATACTTTTTTACTAGCTTTCAGTTACCATTGTTTTTATACTATATGCAATCGTTATATATGGTAAATAAATATTATTTTGATCTACATACACCTTGTGTGAATAATGAAAGAATTCTAGAAAGCTACAAACTAGAAATAGAAATTACATCATTTTAAACGATGAACTGAACATACTTAAAAGTCAACATTTTTTTTTCTTATTTTCTAATTAAATCTGGTTAATGTATATTGTAAAATTACTATAATTAGTAAAGTAGTATTACTAGCTAATTCAATTATTTGAGCATCTTCTTGGTATTTGGATCTATCAAGAATAATCATTAACTCTTTTTTTCGAACAACATGAAACGTTTGTTCAACACCAAGCTTTAAACGACTAGCTAGTAATCCAAATAAAAGAAAATACTCCATCTCAAGGACCCAAGACGGGATTTTCTTGGGCTTCGTGTTGTTGAAAAGAGCATCATTCCGAGCCTTCCACGGAATCCAATAGTACACCGCTAAAACCGCATGCCAAACCTCCACATGTGATTTCTATAGTCTTGCAAGTTGTTCTACTACTGAGAAAGTTTTCAATGGTATTGGCCCCAATAGCAATGTCATCACACCATTTATTTAGGAAAATCCTTGTTTCACAACCCAGGGAACATTTGAGAAACATGATCCTCCGATTCCACTCTATTCATGCAAAGCGGGGATAAATAAGAGGGAATTTGCATCCCTCTTTTGGCTAGATTCATACAAGTAGGCAACCTCTATAACCTGATTAGCCATTATTCCCCAAAATTAATTATAATATGTTTGAGTTAAATATATAATCTTTTAAATTATTTCACCGGTATAGAAAGGTCATGTTTCATTTGAAAAATTGGCGAGGGGGGAGAGTTCGTATCGCAAAACCGACAAAATAACAAGAAAAAAAAACAAAAAAAACAAATTTGCCGTGTTTATGACAAATAGCAACTAAAGAAATTCATTGGATATACGTTCAAAATTACCTATAGATTACCATCGGAAAATGATTTTTCTAATATAAAGATCCTTCAGAAATTAACGACATAACACAGAAGAAACTTGATGAAAATGATTTTTT